ACAACACAACACAACACAACACAACACAACACAACACTAGCCACTAGCAGGATATATACACTTTTTAATCTTGATATGCTTTTTCTTATGACAGTTTACGACTTACTAATATGACATGCTTTATCACAAAAGCTCAGTTTCATTCTCGTGTCTAAAATGGCTAATTCCAAACAGCAAAGTCAATCAAATATGTAGTATACCTTTAACATTCTTATAATTTTACAATTTTACAATAGTCGTTAATATTGGAATGCTATTTGAAAGGATGCAAGTTTTTTGAATACGTTTTACTCTGCATACCAGTAATCCTCAATTCATATGTATTTGTACGATCATCCTTGCTGTCGTGTATTGAAGACAATAATAACTGTTCCCCGAAACGAATAAAACAACAACAACTCGAGTGAACTTCTAAACGATTCTGTTTATTGCTCAACACACCTCGTGCTCTCGGCGCGACAGTCGTGACGTCATACACGACCTGTCAATATACTTAACACTTGCTTTTTTTACATGGGAGTTTCCTTCCCAGGCAGGGGACTCTACGATCTCTCTACAGTGTCTTCTAATTGAAAACTGCGAACAAGGGCCAAAAGAGGTTTCAAAAATAAATTGTCTTTTTATTTAGCGACCAATTTTGGTCATCAATTCGCCGGTAGCTTGAGGTTAAAAATCATGGTTCATTTTTGAATCCATGTGTACAAAAAAAGCAATAATAATAATTTAGGCTACTAAAGCGATGTCAAAATGATACTTACGCTAATCGGAGTCTGATCAAATAGTGGAACATGTATGTTTCTGCTTTTTCTAAATTGTTGTAAGAGAGGTCACTGGGGACATAAAAAATCAAATAACCGATAACTTCTGAGCTGAATTTCTACAATGGATAGAGTGAATTAGCCACTTCATAAAAGAGCAAGAGACAGAGGCGAGTTTTGCATTTTTATCTTATTAGCAAACTTGTTGTCATATTGTCATTTTATAAAGCATGTCAATATACAGTAAGTCTAAGTTACCGGCCTTCAAATTTTCTAGACTTACTTATCCTGAGTTGTTCAATTCTCTCAAATGAGAATGTCATCAAAATTCAAAACTCACCCCAGACTCTTCTTTTTTTAAGCAAAATTAAGCAAATATGTAGTGTACTTTTAACAGACTTTTTTTACAATTTTACAATGTTCATTAATGTTGGAATGTTATTTGAAGGGATATATATTTCTGTACACGATTTATTTATATC